TATGATCAAGCTAACTTTTTTAAATTCAGCCTTTACTGTTTTAGCTGTGTGCAACATAATTATATCAGAATAGTGTGGCAAACTAGAAAAAGACAATTTCTTAAAAACCTTTATAAACGTAATAAAGGTGAGCACTGTGTGCCTAAATTGATAGACAGCAGAGTTAATTCTAGTGTCACATCTGATCCAACCAAATAAGGGAAGTGAAATGCTTTAAGAACATGTTTAAAGATTCATAGACGGTGGCTTCTGGGCACACTGTCATGGATATCCTAAGTAGCTGTAAAACAGTAATGTTTTGTTCAGAGTGGTTTTTAGATGCCACTGCTGCTGAATATTTTTCATGTGTCTGAACAGGAGAAAATCATTCATGTGCATTTTCTATTGTGCTGTATACATAAGCATTGTCCTCTGCAACCTGCAAAACAGAAGGACTGTAAAATCCAATAAAAAGTTATTTTCCAGCATACATTAAAGTGACACTAAACTCAGTTAAATCTTTAAAAACTAAAAATGTATCACTCAGCTGAAAATCCTCAAATCATCTCTCGAATTATGCTGACTAGGGATGCATCGATACCGGTTTTCAGTATCGAGTACGAGTACTGATATTTTTTTTCTATACTTGCCGATACCAAATACAGATACCGGCGCTGTGTTCCCCAATTATCAGGACTGCCTGGGAAGCCGGGGTTCTATCGAAAGAACACTGGCTTTACTTCCCGAGGCTGCCTGGCTTTCTGACCAATCAGAAAGCCGGGTGGCGGGTCATGAGGTGCCGCCCGGCTTCTTGATTGGTCAGGAGGCCAGGCTGCCTAGCAACAAGTGAAGCTGGCTTCCTAGCCACTCAGGAAGCCGGGCGGCATGTCATGACCCACCTCCCGGCTTCCTGATTGGCTAGGAAGCCGGCTTCACTTGTTGCTAGGCAGCCTGGCCTCCTGACCAATCTGGAAGTTGGGAGGCAAGTCATGACGTGCCGTCCGGCTTCCAGAGATCTCCCTCTGACCAGAAGTTCCGGTATTAGAGGTAAGTATCGGGGCATTTGGGCGAGTATGAGTACTCAGCCAAATACTTGGTATCGGCACCAATACCGTTATTAGTATCGGTGCATCCCCAATGCTGACACTGTCCTTCCTTCTGGAGGGTGGCTACTTTTGTTCCCCATGGTCCCTGTGTTTCTTGTAAAGTAGTCACCACTCCAAACTCACTCCTGTGATGAATTACAATCGCACCCTTAGTTTTCTCATTTGCATTAAGATTTCCCAGCAATGCACTCCTAGCAACCTTCCGAAGATGCATCTCTTAAGCATGGGCTATGTCACCAATGCCTAAGAGGACCAGGAAGTGCAAAAACAATAATTGTAAGTAAAAGAAAAATATGTTTATTTAACTAATGAATGTAAGATGGTTTGATATCAGAATGCAGCTGTATGCTGATGTGATTAATAGTGAAAGGGGGTAAAAGTCTGATTTAAGATTAGGTCCACTAGATTATGACAGAATAATGCATGTTCCTTTTGTATCACAATGCTGAATTTACTGGTAAGTAAAAAGGGAATGATAATATAGATAAATTGTATCCTATTTAAATATATTAATATATACTTTTTTACAATCTGATTATAATTTTACAAATTTTCCTATACATATTTTCATGGCATGTTAAGAATTAGAAAACATTAATATAGTTAAGCCAATGAGCCCAATTATATTCTAAGCTTCTTAATTAAGGTTAAAATTTGTATATTTCATAGGTTCATAGATAGATGCAGTACGTACATTTTAGTTTTATTATAAACTGGAAGCAAACTCAGCTTATTGTGTGATTTGCAGCTGCTTTAAGCCATCTATGTTAAAGGAGAATCAATATATACAAATGAGAAAATGAAGTGCCCATCTAATTTTACTGAAACCTAACCATTCATACAAAGGACAGAAAGTGAATACAAAGCTGCTAAGAAGCATATTGGTGATTTAGAAAGCAATACAAATGCAGGGTTGGCTGCACACTATATATCTTTTCCAACTGCGTGGTAGGTGCACATTTACTAAGAACAGTATTTTAAACATATTATAGAAAAAAGACATTAAAGATTGACAACAGAAAAAGGCCAAGTGGTCCATTAGGTCTGCCCTTTATTTGTAACAATCTTGTCTGAGGATAGAACTATGTTTATGACACGCATGTTTAAATTCACTTACTGTTAAATGTTTCATTGGGGTTGATTTACTACGGCAAATAAGCTGTTCACTTTGCAAATAAATGTTTCCTAAGCTTAATAAATGGGGTGAAGCTCTGCTGACTTCCATCACCCAATCATGTGCAAACAAAAATACAGTTTTTTATATTTACCTTGCATGCGATTAGATATTCTTTGCTAAGTGACTTTTCACCACATTCACTAGTACAAGGGAATATTCCCTTGCAGAGAAAAAAATTCCCTTGCAAAGTGAAAACTCCCCTTCAAAGTGAACTCTATTTGCCTTTAATAAAGCCAACCCATTACCTCTGATGAAAGTCTGTTCCACTGCTTTCGATGAGATATTTCTAGGGTTAATTTTAAACTTTTCCTCCTGCTAATTTAACCACTTCAGGGCCACAATACGTCTACAGAAGGCGGTCCGCAGAAGTGGTTAAAACAAGAACACAGCCAGCGATGTACCGTCTGGCGCCCTCCCCTCCCACCTCCCCCAGTTTCCCTGGGCTCTGCTATCCACGTGCGGCGCCCGGAACCGCCTCAGCGGGTCTCCCTGCAGTGATCGGAGAGAGATTCAGCAGCTTCCAGCCGCTGATCTCTCCTCTGATCACTAGACCCGGAAGTGATGTGTATTACATCACTTATGGTGTAACTATTTTAATTCTCTGGCTCTTAGAGCCAGGAGAAGACGCTGGGGAAGCAGATCTCTGTTTGTGGTTTATTGTTAATTTAATTTCAAATTGGTAATGTCTACTAATCTCCTATGGCTCATAAAAGGCTTTATAAAAAGTGAGACATTTTACAAAGATTGTAAGAACATATGATATTTACAAATTATTGAGCAACACTACAACTGTTCATATGACAAGTGCCTGTGACCCGTACAGCAAGTAAGATGCATATGCACTGGAAAGTAAGTTGACATCTCTCATGTTGCTGACCCCTTAGGGTGGTGTTAATTTGATCGGATGATTAATTTTCATGATCTTCTTCAAGGATCTTTTATGTTATTTACATGTTTATTTCCATATTGTAATGAATTACCATATTAAAAAATAAGGTAAAAAATAACAAACAGGACTTGCAATAGAATATACTTTTAATAAATGTCTGTGAATAAGATATCTACAGTTCATGGGTAAATCCATGAGGACAGAAGCAGGTGTGCATGATATGGCATCAGAGTTTTGACGCATGAGCATGTCATTATCTAAAATATGTATACACTAAGGGGTCTATTCACAAAGCTGCCGAGGGCAGCCGAGTGAATGACCGATCTGAAGTGAAGTGAGCCGAACACTGTTCGGCTATTCACTTCAGCCATACATCGGCTCGCTTCGTGTGGCTTCGGGGTTTGAATAGCCCGTACAGCACCCCTTCGGTTCTACTGAACCGAAGGGGTCCTGGGGCTGAAGCTAGCTGAAGCTAGCCTTCAATGTAGGTAATTTGCAGGTTTTTAGGTTTCAAAAGAAACCATGCCTCACCCTGTGGGTAATGCCTGAGTAATGACAATTTCAACAATCATAATGGTAAGGTAGACTGCAGATTAGAGTCTCTGCAGTAATTTATGTATTTGAGGGGTCTGGGGCACAGGTTTGATTTATCTCTGTCTTGACCTAAAAAGCATCACCAGAATATAACCAGTTTGTATTCTCTTGCTCAATATTCTGTTTTGCATAATTTTTTATTCTACTAGCTCTATGGTACTAATCTTAAATTACACTGTAAGTAGTAACAACATCAGATTAAAGTAATTAATGTGGCTTACATATATAGCACAGTATCTTCAGACATTGACAACAGATATTGTGTAGAATAAAAAGGCCATGGGTTGCAATACAGATGTACAGTATGTAATGTCATTAGTTTTTTCTGTATTTTCTGTATTTTGCATTTGAGAGTATTTTGATAATAATTAGAGAATATTTCTTGTGGAAAGTAATATCAGTTTGGCTTCAGATGTGTTTTCCAAAATGTAATGTATTAAGACACGTTACTAATTACCTTGCAGAGGTGATGGAAGCTGCAATTTTACAATGCCTTTCTTGCTATTTCATGCTTCCTGGGTTGGGTTCTTCATATTCTTTAAAAACCTATGGATATGAAAAGGAAAAATAATTAAATTTCCAAAACCATTTAAAGTATATATCACTATTTAAAAGAGAAGTGTTCATGAAAAAAAAAGAAACAGGAAAAAGTATAATGTGTGGACCATATTGCCTGTATTTCTTATTTGTTTTCAAACAGGTTTTAGCCAGTAACAAGAAGGAAAAAAAAACACCTTTCATGGCACAGGACTCTCTATTTCCTTGCATAAAATAGGTATTTAACCATTGTATGCTATTATTTCTTGTGGTTCTTTTTTCGTGTTTATTTTAATTGCACATGGTTTCACTTCCTACTCACCTCATGGCTATACCATAGGGCCTGGCAATAAACACCAGCCAGAAGTTACAGTATTTAGAGGTATTTTACAAATTAATTGTGATTTTAGAAGAAACCTCTCAGGGGGGTATCCGGCAGGTCTAGACTGCCGTGCAAATGGCAAATAAGATGAGTGTGCAGATAAGAAGGGTACCTTTACAAAATTACCCCACATGCATTGCGAGTCTCAATGCAGCAATTGTAGCCTTCTACTATAACCATCCGTACCTCTGTTCTTGCAGTGTGTGTAGGCTGTACGCTACATTGGTACTATTTCCTACATCATCACCATTCCTCCCATCATCACCATTCATCCCATCATTCCACAAGTATTTGCACATGTATAAAAAATCGGGGGGTTTTAAACATATATGTATTATATACCTTTGCTGAAAATGTTGTTTACTTACATTTAATTCAATATTTCACTAATGCACCAGGTTTGCTGAATATACAAAATGTGATTTGAGATCTGAAATTATGAATGTAATGACTGTAATATAGATGAGGAAAGCCCAGCCTCCTGTGACAGCGATGTCTCCGCCCACACACCGCTCTGCCGGACTCTGATAGGCGGCTGAGCAGTGTGGGAGGAGAGATGCCGCAGCTCACAGCGCTCTCGTCCTGACTCCTGCAGCGCTCGGCGGCTGTCACTTTATTTTCTCCCCGCTGGAACAGGGCCCAGCGGGTAGAACAGAAACCAGGGATGACCCGATGTATCGGCCGAAACATGGCTCTTTCGGCATTATGCCAAAAGTGCCATTTTCGGCCGATATGTTTCGGCGGCCGATATATCAGTGCATCCCTAGATTTTACCAGCCTTTATTCTGCTGTGAACTTTGCATTTCATTATTCACATTTTGGAATCTTGTGCTAGATGCTAGAGAACTAGAGAAACATTTACATTTCTATTAAAAAAAACACAATACATTTCAGTTGTCAAGTACTCTCTAATTGTGCATTAGCTTTAATGCTGATATGATACTGTATCCCAGAATACATTTAGAAAACATAGACAAGCAGCAGTGAGAAACAAGTTGGATATAAGCTGGCAAGCATCCTAGATCCCACTCATCATTACCAGCATGTTATATGTGTCTTAGGTTGTCAGAGTCTAAAAATTAGTTCAGCAGGTTGCCATCTAATCTCACAAAGTTTGCAATGTTCTCCTTCAATCTATTTAAACTTGTATGACACTAGTATACTGATGACAGAGGGAACACTAAGCTTTTCTAAATGCCTTGTCTACTTTGACTGATTCTTGATTTCTCCACTGAGCTTTGCAGAGCTAAGGGGGTGTTGGATGTGATTGCACTTTCAAATGTCGGCAAGCAATTCAAATGCATGACTACATCTATGTCAGTCAAAGCATTACATCCTACACTCAGATAAAATAAAGTAAAAATAAAGAAAATCATTCTGATTGGATATGATGTGAGCATTTTATTCTTTGGTGCCTTCTCTAAGATTACACATAGTTCTCCTAAAACAAAAAGATGTACTTTAGCCATCACTATGTGCATAGCTTAAACAGAGGTCATCCTGTCAGGGTCAATGGGTATGGCTTCTCACAACATGGTCATAGTGGGGTAAGGATGAGGCTGGAGCATGGCATGGCTGTGTATCTGTAAGCTCTAACATACCAAGCATTCACTTAAAAACAAAACCCCCAAAACCTGGCACTGCCAAAAACTTACATGCACTCCCAATTTCAGACATGCTAGCTACAATTTAGGAATAGAAGTTGCATGACACACATCTAGGTTATCAGTAAATCTATAATAATAAACCTAAAAAAGCATCTTACATTTTATTAAGGATTTCTGGGCATCCATAATCTCAGAAGTGCAAATACCATAAACACTACTCTCAGAAGGTTATGATAGGTATTGGACACACAATAGACAGTTGATGCTAATTGCATGATTGCTACACAGCAATAAGTGTAAACATTTCCTGTTAAAGGTCCAGAGCTGTGGTCCAGAGCAATCCTAAATATAATTTCAATCCTAAATATAGAAGTACTAGAGACATACCTTATACAGTAGCAATCCAAACCTAAGCATAAGTTCTCATAGAAGGACTAGAGGTATATCTAAGATAGTAGTGCTCCAACCCTAAGTATAATTCCTTGTAGAAGGACTAGAGACATACCTGAGATAGCAATGCTCCAATTCTAAATATCATTTTTTTCAGAAGTACTAGAGACAACTGACATGGTAATACTTCAGGGCCCTACATCAGGGCCCATTCACACCACATCCAGATTACCTCCAGACCAGACCAGACTGTTTCCGGACCCAAAATGCATCCCAATGTATTCCTATGGTATTTCTGGCCTCTGTTTACACCACTGCAATCCGTTCCAGACCAGACCAGACAAATACTGGTTGTCCTATTTTGTCTGGTTTGGAATGCACTGGAACGCATCAAAAACACATTGAACGCACCTGTAAGACCATTTTAAGCTAAAAAAAAAATCAATCGCGGTATAATCACGGTTAAAAACGCAGCAGAAACACAATGCACTATGTTTCAGATCTGGTCCAGATATTGCCCGGAAAATGGTGTGAACCCAGCCTCAATCCTGAGTATATTTTCTTGTACAGTAGAATGACCATAGACACACCTGAGATTGTAACGTTCTAATGCATTTCAAAGTATCACTACTTGTACAAGGGCCAGATAAACACCAATCCTCCTCCATTCCTAAGTGCTTCTGTAGAACTCTCATTAGAATTTGCACCGAATAACATTACGCAAAAAAGCTGAAGGTTTGTAGATTAAATTACCCATCAGAACCTATAGGGGTTTATTTACTAACCTTATAAACACACCACGAACATGTATACACCTCTGTAGTGTGTTCCCTCCCAGCATGATCTATGGGTGGAATCTAAACACCTTTGTAGTGTGTACACACCCAGCAGGTGTGTTGTGCAAAGCCCTGCATGAATTTGCAAGGTGATGTTGTGTAAATTAGCTCTATGTTGTGTTGCTTGCGTTGATGAATGCAGGAATGTAAATGCATGAGCTAACCATTTTTGTCTAAACTGTGAAGCAGCATTATATATGCATCATGTGCATGATTTTTCCATAAATGGCATTAGTGGAAATATGCTTTTAGAGACTTTTTGGTTGATAAATACGTTTTGCTGTGTAAAAATCACATGCACCTAGTGTGTGCGTGTGTTTAGGTTAGTAAATCACCCCCATAGGGTTATATACAGTAATATGCATATATCCTGTAATTACAACCATGCAGTCAGGAATATAATCATATACTTTTTTATTCTCAGAATCAAATACATAGGGGACTATTCACAAAGCAGCCGAAGGATCTAACCGTAGCTTCGGCTGATCCTTCGACTAGCTTCGGCCCCAGGTGGCTGGCTCCGGCAACTTGCAGAGAGATCAGCGTCCCTGGTTACCAGCTAACCAGGGACACTGATCTCCAGACAGCCCAACTCTCCCTGGCGCTCCGGGAGTCTCCAGCTCCCGGCCGCCCAGGAGAGAAACACTGCTTTTTCTTTTTATTTATTCTGACAGGGAGCCGTTGGCTGGCATCAGAATAAAAAAAAAAAACATTTTCACCATAGTAATGCATTGCTAGATTCCTATTGGCTATTTCAATTTGCAATAGCCAATACCAAACTAGCTATTGCCACGGCCCACTGCTGCTGTCAATCAGCAGAGGGGACCTGCAGTTCTCCATCAGGTCCCCTCTAGTGATTGACAGCAGCAGAGGGTGGGTGCATTAGCTAGTTTGCTATTGGCTATTGCAAATTGAAATAGCCAATAGGAATCTAGCAATGCATTCCTATGGCGAAAATGTTTTTTTTTTTACAAGAGCAGAACCACCGGACAATAGAAAACAGTTGGGCGGAGCTAGCTGTCACTCCTAGCTCCGCACAATCGTTTTCTATTTATTTTTTTCTACTTTTTAAACTATTTTTCTGTTCTGCTTGGTACCACAGAGGGAGCGAGCAGAACAGCCGAGCCGAATGGTGCTCAGCGGCATTCGGCTATTCACTCACTGCTGTTCGGCATCTATCAGAATAGACCGGACAGCAGCGAGTAGCCTCTGAAGGAGCGAGCAGAACAGCCGAGCCGAAGAATAGACCGAACAGCAGCGAGCAGCCTGCCGGAGGTTCCGCTTAGCCGATCCAGATGTTGGATCGGCTGAGTCGAACGGCTTCTGCACTTCGGGTCGGCCGGACATCCTGAGCATGTTCCGCCGACCCGTTGAGAAAAAAATAAATATGAAATCTAAGATTTTATTAAACTAGAGTTTGTTAGATTGTGTTCCCTCATGCTATTTAAACATAGGGTAAATAAATCGGATGTAGCCATGGATACCAAAGTATTACCTGTATCTTGTTTTTTATCCACAGCGCTGGTATACAACATTCATTAAACATGTATGAAGAGCAGCATGTGATCAAAACAACATAGTATTAGAGAAGCCAATTATTTGTCCAAGATTAATAATCATATAACACCAGCTGATGTGTTCAAAGTAGATTAATTCATGCCTACAATATGTAAATATTAGTCACATATGAATAACGATTCCGGAAATGTGGTTAGCTGCATTAAAGTAAATTAATTGAGCTGATATTTATGATACTTTATTTGCTGGTTTATTATTGCTGAAGTTAAA